ATCTGTGAGTTCTGTGTGGCCACTGCAGTGAATTATCAAACCCAGGAGAAAGGTGGTGGGTGCTTTGTGAGGAACGGTTGGTGAAAGGGCTGGAGGGAGGCAGCATGTCTGGCCATGCAGTAATAGGCCTTGGGCTATTGATGGTGATTTTGTCTTCCTCTTGTGCGGTTAGAGGAGGTCAGAAGATGTGGCCTCCTTGTCATTTTTGCACATATATATTTTTTTTTTTATAGGTATATGAAGAAAATCTAGCTTCACAAAGATATATATTTGGAAAAAGGAGATGTGTATTAAGAGACTTTTCAGATAATTGTGGATATTTTTCTTGATATTGGTACTAAAATTTGACAAGTATTATTTCCTTTTCTTTACAATTTTGTTGTTGAGAATATTCACAGAAAAAATGTACACTAATTCAACTCTTTCTACAGGTACAATTCAGTGAGATTGATTACATTTTTCAAGTTGTGCATCCATTCTTATCCCCCTTTTCTGAGTTGTTCCTCCCCCTTTAACGTAAACTCACTGTCCCTTATAATGTGATCACTTTGATCCCATATAGATAATTCTTTTTTTGTGTGTGTGTCTGCTACTTTTTTTATATTTTTATTTTTTTGCGATTTGGGTGAAGATTTACAGAGCAGATTCACTTTCCATACAGCAGTTCACATACACTTTGTCTCATGACACTGACCACAGTTTACCACAATGCAACAGCTCCCCTCCCACTTCCTCCCCTTCCCAGTGTCCATCCCTCCATGCACTCCTGCCCCCTGAGATGTCTCACTGTGCATAAGCAGCCCTTCTTTCTTCCATGATAGTTCTCTCCAAGGAGTGTATCTACCTCAGGTAAACGTTCAACTCATATGCCTGTCTTTTGTTTGGCTGGAAACCACAGGTGTGGGTTCAATTCCAGACCTGAAAGGCAGCTATAGGTCATAGTCTCAGTGGTTCCACCAGGCTCTATCGCACCAGCAAAACTGGTCCCCATCTTTTTTTATTTTCTCCAAATAATTTTGAGTTTTGTTCCACATTGTTATCCCTCTCTATCAAGGATCTCCTACATAGATCTCCTTTCAAGTGGATGACAGTGGTAGCCAGGCACCATCTAGTTCTTCTGGTCTCATAGTCGTATAGGCTGCAGATCAGATAGTGTACCAGTTGCTAGGACTAATTGTTTCCATGAATTTTGGTTTTCTTCATTCTTCTTTTCTTTGGAAGAGGAGAGACCCATCATTGAATCTAGATGGCAGCTTGCTAGCTTTTAAGATACCAGTCGCTACTCGCCAGAGTAGGAGGTGGAAAAATGTTTTGTATAGTATGTTATGCCAATTGAGCTTGATGTCCCCTGTGACTATGGTC